GAGAGAGAGAGAGAGAGAGAGAGAGAGAGAGAGAGAGAGAGAGATTGGTCCCGGATAGAATCCATCGCTACCTAGCGAGCAATGATCGACTGAGGTATCATTTTTATAAAGACTGGGAAGGTTCAAATAGAAATCCTGGTGTTCTTCAGAAATTTACATAATATCAACTACATTCGGAGTTTCCAAAAAAGCGAGTTCATGAATGTCCTTTGGAAGGTTGAGTTTGTGTAGATCCTTCAACAAAATATCCGAGCACTCGTTATATTCAATACAGTCGAAGAAAATATGATTTGCAGACTGAGAAGTATGCAAGGGCAAGAACTGTCCATAATAATGCCCTTATCAAATAGATGTTGATTACATCTAGTAAAGGATCTAAGCCTATTAATGATTACAACATATTTCCTTGGAATGTGTTTAAATAGGCAGAACCAGAGAATTGTCAAATCCTTGCATCTGATACGATTGAAATATCTGTAGTCTTTATACGATAAGGTCTGTTCCAATTTATTAAAAGACAATAGTTTGTAATAATTGTGCAATGCTAAACAGACATTGGAGAAGAAGTAGCGTGGTTCATGTTGAATTACGAAGTTTAAGCTTCTTTGAGCTGCCAATGATGCAAGAAAACCCAAATAATTGCCGTATAGGTTGATGTGCCCGGGGGCCCAGGCAACAATAGTATTACGACCAGAACAATTGGTACTGTGTAAGTGTTTCTTGAGGACGTAGATCAAATGAGGTTTGTTTCTTTGGTGATCCATCGAGCCAATAGCAGAAACCACGCTCTTAGAGTCGGTTATGATTAAAAAGTCAGATCCATTACGAGTATTTATATAAGAAATGGCCTTGATAATAGCCAGAGCTTTAATTTCAAAGATTGAGAGGTAAGAGTTAGTAGAGCCCATGATATACTCGTTATTCCAAGCAAAGAAGCAGGCATACCAAGGCCATTCGTCATCTTCGAGCCATCAGTAAAAACTACGTGATAATTAGGATATGACTTTAAATTATCTTTAAATATAAGATCTGCCTTGCTAAGTGCGCAACAAGATCCAGCAACAAATTCGAACAAGTTATCGGCTGCGATAAGAGTAGCATTAAAACCTCTAACAATTTGAAGAATATTTTTTAAATTAGAAATCTTGGAGCCAAAATCAACATCCGTGCGAGGAATGTAAATTCTAACCTTGTATTCACAATTGAGAGCACCCGAAGATTGAGCGGTAACTAAATGAGGAGAGTGTGAGGCGACGATAACCAGAGAAACAAATTTAGAATTAAGAAGAAAATTCACAGGAAGAAAAGTACCGGAGGAAAGCCAAGAATTCTACAATACAAGAAGAGGATGCGAATCAGTAACAATCACTTTCGCGATAATTTTAGACATGAGGAGTGACGAACGAGAACGAAAGTCCAGTTCCCCATTTAAATGCAGGATCACGTTAATTAGAGTAGTAGACATCAAACCAGCGACAATTCTAAAAGCAGCAAACTGAAACCTGTCCAAAACAGAAAAATTAGAGATGTCGACATTCAATAAAAAAGGAAGGGAGTAGTCAATGAGAGGTCTGATCAATGACCAGTAAACTGTAAGCAGTGGGAGTAAGGCAGGGTAAGCGCCCCAGTTAATGCTCGCGATTGCCTTGAGGATGCTAATACGTTTCTTTATATCAATTGTCAAGTACCTAATATATGTCAACATCTTGAGATTACAGTCACAAGAACCTGACAGATTGAACTATTGGGATGCAGTTATTCCCAATCTTGTAACAACCGTACTCCGCAGGTCGGTTGCTGAGTGTGCCGATGGATTATTCGCTCGCCGGAGTCCGGGTTCGCTAAATAAATAACACAAGACGCGTTTTGTAAGAAATAAAAATAACAAAAACGTTTATTCTTTCTTTGTACAGAGTAGTCGCGTCCGAGTGCGAAGATATACCGGCGCCAGTTATCGGCTCGCGGTTTCGGTGTGCCGTGACAGGTAAGACGGGAGACGGAGCGTATAGCGCGAAGGCTCGGCTTGCCTTGCGCATTCGGCAGGCGGTCGCGCGTCGCGGTTCGGGTTTTGTGATTCGTACGCGGCTCGCGTGGTCGGCGGAATCGAGTCCGTGTCACAGCACGGCACGCTGTTTTCGCGTTTGCGGTGGAGACGCGCTCGTTTGCACGCTTGTTTCGCAGGTGGCGAGATCGGGAGTAAGCAGTCGCGCGATCGACGTATTCACCCTCGATCTCGCTCGTCGAGAGGCTGGGAACAAAGGTCGAAAAAGCTCGACAGAGCGCAGCTAACTTACTGGCTTCGGTCCTTGTCCATGGAGTCGACGGGATGCGAGCAGGAGTCGATAAAGATCGACAGAGCGCAGCTAACGTACTAGCTTCGGTCCTTGCTTGCGAGGATGTGACACGGAGTAGGCTGAGGAGACAGAGAGACGAGTCGGTCGTAGGCCTTGCTCTCCGCTGTATAGCATCGAGTTCGGTTGACGGTCCGGATCGGTCTGGTCTCGATTAATTTGGCGCCGCGGATTATATATTCGGCGCCGCTTTATGTCAGCCCGCGGTGCACGTGATTGTCGCGTACCCGCGGCGCGCGCTCTTGATCGCTTCTTTCGTGTACTCGCTGTTGTGTTATCGAGTGTTTTTCGCTCGCTTTGTTTGCGTGGTGTTTGGATTAGGCCTTGCGGCGTTTAGGTTGGCGCAACGCGCCGGTGCACGGCCTGACTGGTGTTCGGTCGGGCCGGTATTAGTGACGATGCAGGTGTGCATCGTCACAATCTTTATATGAAGCTTGTTATTTGTAACAATTTGGTTAATAATAGAGGGCTTTGAATGACAGAAAATACAAATGGCGGATTTTTCAGGCATAATTTGCAACTTCAAAAAATCAAAAACTGAATTTATCCTATCCAGAGCATATTAAAGCAAAAAGAAAGATTGAGGAAGATACATTTGACGAACAAAGATTACCAAATCATCGGCAAACATCAAGACATCTACATCGGGAAGAAGAGAGTTTAAAATTAAGGAGGAATACAAGCTAAATAAAAGAGGACTTAAGATTGAGCCTTGAGGAACACTGATACTCACAGCTCTCTTTCCCAAAGACTGGCCATTGTAAAAAGCTTCCATCTTTCTCTCGAATAGCATATGTTGTAGAAAGATTAAGATTTTAGGAATCCTAATTCCCACAGAGGAAAAATCAATGGTAGTGGTTTTAAAATACCAAGGCAGGTCGACAGAGAGAGATAGAGACTCGCCAGAGGAAACCACGTGGAAAAATATTCAGTGTAAGCAGCAGTTCAAGAGCACAAGCAAAACACGTCCGATCGGCAAGCGATGCGAAACAGAAGTCCAGAGAGAGATTCATACTGTTAAAGGATGTGTTCGGGGAACACACTACTAACGCTACCACGTTCTTCTATCTTTATTGTTCCTTAGATATACAACAACGATAAAATGACACGGTAGCGCTGAATAGCACTAATAGAGAGCTCCCCGAACGCACCTATAGGAAGTGTTCCATAAGAATAAGAAAATAAACGATAATATCGCAACAATAATATTAGTTAGTGTTCATATTAGTGCTACAACATTGTTATTTGTGAAAAGGACATAAGTTAGCACAATTGTGCCGCAAATTCGACAATGAAATATTTTAGTAATAAAATATATATTATTTTGCAACCAAACATAATAGCGATTTTGACTTCACACGTTTTGTTAACTAAGCGGTAGGCGTCGGAATTAATTAAAATCAAGTTGCCGCTTCATTAACAAATGTTTCATTTTGCAACCAAATAATAATTAAAAATATTTCTTTAATATATTGTTGTATGATTACAATTATTAATAGTTATACAAAAAGGAATGATATCTGTACAATAATTACTTTTTTAAAAAAAGGTACAAAAAAAGGCAAGTGCACGCACTTTGCTTCGCTTGCAGAAAATATTATAAAAAAAGTTATTGGTAAAATTCTTACAAAAAGAAATGATATTAAACAGTTTACGCCAAATAAAATTAATTTCATATACAATAAATATTGTTATAACTACTTTGTATATATGAACACTACATTAGGATTCTACTAACTTTATTTTCTGATATTTACACAAAATTGGGAAAAAAATAGTTTTTAAAAATTTATTTGGTAAAAATACAAAAGTAAAAATTTTGGGAAAAGTTAAATAAAATTTTACACGCACACAAAAAACACTTGACAGGGTAAGCTTTCACACGCACACATAAAACACTTGGCGTGCCTATTCTTTTAATGTTACTCATACAACATATGCTCCAAAGATTTTCGTATATATTACGATTATCGATTTACCGATTCGTAATTTATTAAATTAAATAGGCTGTATAGACATCAGAATAAGTACTCGGCAAGCGAGACGCCAAGCGTGGTGCACCAACCATTTAAAAGGAACGGGAGATGTCTTATTTGGAGAGCACCTTACGAGCGCCGTCTTTCTGAGAAGCGCGAGCCTCGTGACGCGTTTCCGAGAAGCGCGGCCGCGCAACGGTAAAGGCCATTGCCATAGAAAAATTTTAACCGTAACTGTAAGGTCGTAAGAAAACTGACCAATCAGAGTTGATTATTCTCCTTGCCTTATAGACCTTATGGTTACAGTTAAAATTTTTCTACGTGCAAAGGCCCTAAGCGCGAACCTCGCAACGAATTTCGGGGAAGCGCGAGCCCTGTGACGAAATTCAAAGAAGCGCGAACCTCGCGATTTTTCGTGGAATTACAATTCACCTACATTCATCACATGGAAGAAACTCTAGTATAAATAGAGAGCAAGGTGGATGGGGATTTAATTCGCTCTCGACCTCGACTGAGACAACATCTCACGAGGAGAAACAAAGCGACATTGCAAGGAGCTATAGCGAACTCTCTTACGAGGAGTAATTCTCGAGCGAATTCTCCTTCGAGGAGTGGTTTCCATACCGCTGACAGGAAAACCTGAAACCACAGCGGGGCAGACTTCAAGGAGAGGCCAAGGAATCACGACGGCAATGTCTAAGCGCCCAGCTGCTGGACCTATTCGGTCCGAACAGCGAGGATGACCAGACAGCGACGCCGGTAGACTCCGCTACTACCTTGCCAATCTTACCTTGGTCTTCGCTACCGGCTACGCCTTCGCCGATGAAGGTACTACGGACGCCGTCTCCGAGGAAGCAGCCACGACCGCGTACGTCACCACCACGGACGTTTTCACCTCTTAAACGGCTTCCTGGGACAACAGTGGTCGTACCTCCGCAGCCTCCTAGCCACACGAAGGCCCTAAGGGTGGAATGCCAGGCCGCGCTCCAACGCATATCGACCAGCGATACACCGGCTGCAAAGTCCAGGGACTCCGCCGGGCACTCCGTCGAGTCTCTGCTGCTCTGGACTCTGCACAGGATCAGCCTTGCTCCAGTAAGGCGAACTAGGCCGCCCATAGCATAGCTGTAAACCTGGGATGTACGGGCACGGCGATCGCTCTCACCCCAGTACGTGACACCACCACGAAGGCTGCCCTCGCCTCAACGGCCGCGACAAGTCGTCGACAAGGCGACCCAGCCGTCTCCGGAAACCACCAAGAACGGAACACCGAAAAAGCCGGTGCGACCAACACAAGTAGTTGGCTACCGCAGATCTTCGAAGAAACAGACGCGGCGGAAGAGGACGACCGTCTTCCGCTCTTCACGGGAGCCGCCCACACGGGAGACACGTCGTTGACGTGGCCATGCAACTACTATTCATACACACTGACACATTCACATAAGAGATGTAGAGGAATAAATATGACAATTTCACATTGACCTCCTATTCATTCCTGCGTATACTTTCCTCTTCCTGCGAGCACCGATTATCAATAAGCTAAGATTTACAAACTAAACAGTGCAACCACACTGCTTATAGGCGCGTGTTCTGTTCAGTAATACAGGGCTTGTCGGAAAAATCATTCCCATATCTTTCCATCGAAGTTACAGTGTTCTCCATTATTATAATTTTAATGGGTCCGCATCGTGATCAGGAAGCTAAATTATATTGTATTTATAAAATATATAAAAACATGGACATGAAAAACATGGATTTAAGCTAAATATGTTAAATTACAAATCTTTCATAAATCCTTTACCGTTCTTAGGCGTTGCCAATTTTGACAAAAATTAGAGATTGCGAAAAATGAGAAGGAAATAGTTATAAACCTCATGTAAGTATGCAAAAGAATTGTATATACGCGAGTGTCAGTGCTAATGTCAGTGTCATGACGGAGCCTTCAGTGTGTATGAGAAATCAAAATAGAAAACACGGTAAATATGCTGAGTGCAATTTTAAAATATAATAATTTCTGCTTTCAAATTACATAACGTGTACTTTTCTAGTCTGCGAGCAAGATCTAAGCAGTTGAACACTTTGTGACGATCCACAGAAATAATGGATTGTCACGACAATTATTTAAACTATTGTTTATACCAAACAACCGTGTGACAAAGCGCCGAACAACCGCGATGTCAATAAACAGCTTCGCTGTTTGCTAAAACTAGTATAAAAGCCGACGCGAAATCGGTATCGAGAGAGATTCGCCGGAAAGCTTCTCTAAGGCGCTCAACCGACCAGAGCTCGAAACCTCCTAGAGATCCTAGACCGTTCCGTCGACCGAAGTGAATACGCGACGTCAACATCCTTTTCCTGAACCGTTCTGTCGACCGAAATGGATACGCGACGTCGGCATCTTGTCCATATACCGTTCCGTTGACCGAAGTGGATACGCGACGTCGGCATCCTGTCCATATACCGTTCCGTCGACCGAAGTGGATACGCGACGTCGACATCCTTTTCCTGAACCGTTCTGTCGACCGAAGTGGATACGCGACGTCGGCATCCTGTCCATACACCGTTTCGTCGACCGAGGTGGATATGCGACGTCGACATCCTCTCCGTATACCGTACCGTCGACCGAGGTGGATACGCGACGTCGATATCCGTTATCTAACATCGCTCCGACAACGCATAACATATCTAATGTCTCCAAGTTACGAGATATACCGCGACACAACCGTCTCGAAACCGGTTCGGTTAAAAGCCGGTATCAACAATAAGTTTAAATCTCGCTGAGTCGACGAACTCGTAACACGGGCGATAGAACATTGCGAAACAATACCGGCCGCGTCCCGCCAAACGCGCTCGCGCCTGGACGCTCGCAGCCGATCCCGCGACAATAACGTAGGCTCCCGACAAGAGCAAAAACGCGACCACACGCCAGCGGCGTAATTTCACATGTATATATTTGTAAATAACTCTGATATTAGAATATAGTTACACATTTATTATTAACTACACCACTGCTTCTCATTTATCGAGCGAAACCTTGGACCGCATCGACTAAGCTATCCTGCACGTAACGCAAGGCCGTTACACGTATATACGTAAAGGAAAAGTATCAAAATCTTTATTCAAAATATTATTAAAATATAGGTTAAATATTTTATGCAATATTTATAGTAAATAAAAAATAAATATTTGTAGTAATATTTTGTAAATATTTCTATAAATATTATATATGAAAAAAATTAATGTAATTATTTATAATTATTAAATTAATAAAGAAATAGGAAAATAAAAATTTAAATTGGTAATATATGTGGCGTCTCAGCAAGCGAGACGCCACGCAAGGTGCAACTCGCATTTAAAAGGAATAAGAAATGCCTTATTTGGAGAGTACCTTACACGCTCCGTTCTTCCGAGAAGCGCGAGGCTCGCGACGCGTTTCCGAAAAGCGCGGCCGGGCAACAGTAAGCGCGAGCCTCGCGACGAATTTCGGGGAAGCGCGAACCTCGCGATTTTTAGGAAAATTTTAATTCACGGACATTCAACATATGGAAAGAAAAGGAGTATAGAGAGCAAGGTGCCAAGGGATTTAATTCGCTCTCGAACTCGATAGAGAAAAGATTTCTCGAGAAGAAGTAAGCCATACTCGCACCAGAGTACAAGTTCCGCAGCTATAAGCCCGAGCGAATTCTCCTTACAAGGAAAGAGTTACACACCACTGCAAGGAGCCGAGGACACCCTGAAGCTTCTACAGGAACGGCCTCAGGGCGAGGCCAAAGGCACATACCGTCAACTGCTCAGCATTCAGCTGCGGGATCTCTTCGGCACAGACAATGAGGATGACCGGACAGAGGAACCAGTAGAACTATCTCGCTCCTGTCTCGCCGGCGTCCATGTTCTCATTGCCAGCGACGTCCTCGCCAACACGCCTGCCACGGACGCCGTCGCCACGGATGCGACCACGACTGAGCGCGGCACCTCCCAGGACGCCATTGTAGGGCGGCTTCGTAGAGCAGCACTGGCGGCTTCGCATCCTCCAGCTGTCATCCACACAGAGGCATCCAAGGTGACAGCGTCACAGCATCGGGCGACAGGGACTTCCACACCAGAGAAAACCAGAGACTCTGGCGGATACTTTGCCGAGTCTTTTAGGCCATGGAACCTACTCGTTCTAAGCCTCTCGCCAAGTCGCACCAGGCCATCGTTGGACCAACTGGCAACGTGGGATGTTAGGGCACGGTCACCGCTCTCGCCCCGGTATACAGTACCGGTATTGAGATCGCCCTTGCCTCCGCCGTCGCGTCAGACAGCCGACAAGGCCACACAGACCTCGCCAAGCGACACCAGGACCACATCGCCGAGGAAGCCAGCGCAACCACCGGGAGCTGTCGGACACCGCCGATCTCCCCGGAAGCTAGCCCAGTCAGAGAAATTCCGAGCACATAATCGCTCTCCCAAGAAACCTGCGCGACCTTCGCGGCCGCCCTACACGGATTCGGCTCTGGTGTGGAACATCACACTGATGCTGCAGATCAATAAATTTACACACTGATACACTCACACGAGATATGTAAAACAATAAACTGGACCATTTCATGTTGATCTCTGCCTCATTCATAGCGTATATCCATCTCCTCCTGCGAGCGCCGATTATACATAAAGCTAAGATCTTGTGAAAACGAAACAACGCTACCACAATGTATACTGAAAAAATTCTTTAAATCAAAGAAATATATTTTGTTAAATATAATTTCTTAATTTAAAAAAATATTTGTTACACTTTAAAAAACATAATATACTTATAATAAAAAACATAAAGTAATATTTTTTTAAATTTGTAAAATAAGCTGTAAAATTATGAATTTCTAGAAAAAAATAATTTCTTTACAAGAAAAAAACTTTTTAAATGTAAAAATTGTGTTTAAATAAATGTTTGCTTGTTTTAAAGTAAATAAAGTACAAGTAAATCATTTTATAAATCTAAATAAATTATTTTCTAATATTAAAAGTATCTTTTTGGGTTTCAAATTAAAGTTTCTTTTATTATCAGAAAACATTCTGATTTCTTATATTATATTATATTCTCTTCTTTTAAATAAATAATTCGTTTTCGTATATGGATACAATATATGTTTGGAGGTATTTGTTATTTCTGTGTGATCTTTCGCTCGCGGAGAAGGAGTGATATAGGAAATGACTCTTTGTACCCTTTTATACAAACATTTATTTTATGTGTCCCTAATTTACAGGTGTGTGTGTGTGTGTGTGTGTGTGTGTGTGTGTGTGTGTGTG